GGATCATCAACTCACCCTGCACAATGACTTCGAATTGCTTACCCGCTTAGGGAAGAGCTTCTCTAAAGACACATCACCAGATCTCACCATGACCTCTCGGGTTAACTCAGTGTCACAGGTCCCGTTAATTTGGGAGGCGATCGCCGGGCTAATTCCAAGGGCCGAAGTATCGGCTCCCCGAACCTCACCACGAAACCGTGGACAATTTAGAAGTGGTCCTATTTGGCACACCAGCGGACGCCGACTGTGGTCCAAATAACAAGTCAGAGCCGAGAAATGATAAACAAAACAATATTATATTCTCAATATTGGCAGATCAAAAACAATACACAAGTATGCACACTCAAGAATCGTTGAATACAGTATGTCACCAATCAAACAACGTACTATACAGTACAATGAGCCACACTCGAAACAACGGACACAGACAACAATACGCACTACAATGCAGTCGCATGCATTGAACAACCAAGACACTTAAAGACTAAAGAGATAGAAAACCTATTCAGTCCAAAGTTCTTGGAACAAAAGTCTGGATGATACTCTTCCGAGAATCACTCACTCAAAGTCCAGCGTTGTTGTCGTTCCGCTGCCACCGAAGTTTCTCTTCCAGGAAACCTCACGTCGTTCCGATGCCCCCGAAGTTTCTCTTCCAGGAAACCTCTGTCGTTCCGCTGCCCCCGAAGTTTCTCGTCCAGGAAACCTCACGTCTTCACTTGGCCGCTCTCCAAGCTTCAAACTTCTTCACCGGAAACACGTCGGCTTCACACACGCAGCTGTTGCTACGCGTCTTCGCTCGATAGTGGTAACACACACTCTTGCCTGTAGCTCGAGTCGTCAACCCTCAGGTGGAAAGTCATCTTCCTCTCCTGCTTTGTCTCTACGGAAATAACCTTCACCGACTACACGGCGGAATCCCTACGCGCTCTGGCGCTAACTTCCGTCTTCTCCTGATCTCTCATCTCGGCTGCTCGATTAAATACCTTCTGCGCGAGATTCCAGAAAGTTCTCATCGTTTCGTCGGCGCGATACGCAGCGAAGGCTGGGGAGAGGGCGAGGCGGTTCGAAGGCCGTCCGCGTCGGATGACGCAACCCGGCATCACCCCGCCCCTTTCCATCTAGAACATTCGAGGGCTTGCTCGGGCGCCGATGAGAGGAGGTTCGTCGGTGAACGTACGCTTCCGAGGGGACTGGTCGCGCGCCCGGGGAGTCTTTGGATGCTTGTTTTCTTTTTTTTATTGTTGACCTAGCGGCGTCTCTCCCACGCTTTATCGCGAGAATTTGGCGGCGCGCTCTTTTGAGCGCTCGTTTTGTGACGCTCAGCTAAATGAAAAAAAACATTCAAATCAATTTTGGTAGCGACCACTAGGTCATTCAGACCTTTCTTAGTTTATCTCATAAACCGATTAACATCAAACCTCCCAAACTAACGGGTTGGGACAAATTTCGGCAAACTCGTGTGAATAATTCTCCCACTTTCATAGAAGATTTACAAGAATGGATGCGCCAACTCCAAGCCGAAGTTGACAAACATACTAGAACTATGTCTTTCACACATTTGATGCGAAGCTATACTGCATATGTGGGAAGCAAAGGAATCGCTATTAAAACGATGGAAAAAACACTGCCATAACCGCAGGTTTCGCATCCGTGGCTCGATCACGACATACATGCACCTGCTTCCCAGCTAGTCAAGTCAACAATGGGATCAAATGTGCCAGAGCATGCTCGGTAATCTCGATAGTAAGAAGACTTGGCCATTTCTGAGACATTTGCTCGACCCATCGACATTGCGTGCGCATCAAAATCATTACATAACTCGGTTATTGCACAAACACGAGGTTAATATCCCGCATCTTTTTCAGGAGCTTGCGCGATTGCACTTTCTCCTCATTTCAGCCCACGCGCATTCAGATTATGCTGGCGAGGTCAATGAACTTCTTGACGCCCCAGTAAGAGAAACGGAAGTTAGACATGCTTTATTTTTTTCTTAAAACTACATCTGCCCCGGTTATCGATAAGGTAACTAATACAATACTTCGAAATCTCGACGATCAATCGATCACTGTCCTCACAGACTACTACAATCACTGTTTCAATACTTGCTCTCCGCCTAACTCGTAAAGCTAATAAGCCCTCAGACATAGCTAACCTTAGACCTATTTCTTTGACGCCATGTTTAGGAAAAACTCTCGAACATGTCCTTCTTAATCGCTTAAACAAGTACGCAGACGATAATCGGTTTTTCCCACCAGAGATATTTGGCGTTCGTCAATCGCTCTCTTGACATAATGCCATGCTGAGGCTCAAGCATGACATTCTTACTCCCAGTGGCAGTAAAGACACTCAAGCCAGTCTAGGGCTATGTTGTTAAACGGACCTGCACGGTCCGTTTAACAACATAGCTCATGCCTCCATTTTATGCGAATTGGATAACCTTAACTTTAAGAAGAAAATGTATGACTATATCTGCGAAACCTTCAGCAACCGCATGGCTATCATTAGTCTCAATGACCCAAATTTTCCCCCAATTACCCTAGGTAGCTTTGGCACACCTCGGGAATCAGTCCTCTCGCCATTACTTTTTAACCTAGCTAAAGTTATATTTCTGAGACGCTAGTTAAAATACCAGATCTCCAATATATTGATCTTCGATAACATTACCATATGGATGAAGGGTGGATCTGATGGATACATTCAAGATACCTTACAAGAGGCTGCAGACGCAGTTACTACGACAGCTAGGCTTATGAACCTCGAGTGCTCGCCAGCTAAATCTGAGCTTTTACTGATCTCTGCTAAAAAGTGCGACAAACCCAGCATTCATATACACCTGAATGGGAAGCAAGTTCCTGTCGTATACAAAATACAGGTACTAGGCATGCACATTCAGTCTAACTCAATACTTACATGCTCCAAACGGTTGCCACCAGCATAAACCACACAACCATAATTATAGGAAGAGTGTCCAATAAGCACGGATGCCTTCGTGTGGCAGATTTATTAAGACTCGTACAAGCATTTGCCATCAGTTAAATCACCTTCTCCCTCCCATATCCTCACCTCAAGGCCTGAGGAAGATAAGGCTCTAATTCTCTGATACGCAAGCTTTACAAGTTTGCTCTTGGAGTGCCAAGTACAGCTTCTATAGAAAAACTTTTGGCTACAGATTCGTTCAATACCTTTAGCAATCTCGCATAACCCTACCTGACAGCTAAATGCCAACGCTTATTGAACACCCACACTGGTAGGCGTATTTGAAACTCCCTAAATCTTACTCCAGCACCGATGACTAAGGAGAAATTTAATATTCTCACCAGCTACATGAAAACTTTCGTATCCCCCCAATCCCTAAAATTATGCACCTTGTTCATCATGAGCATAGAAGAAAAGAACGAGCTAAATCTCTTCAGAAAAAGTTCTTGGTCTGCAATGATGTGGTCTATGTTAATACCGCAGATTATCCTTGTGGGCAGAGATTTGCGTTAACAGTTATTAATTCTGACGGCAGTGTTGCAACGGCAGCATCCATTCGAGTCTCGTCTTCGGAAGAGGTGGAGGAGGCAGCGATTGCACTTGCTGCTGCGATTGCTCATCCTTCTGTCATATAGTGAGTGATTTGAAAACTGCCATATACAACTTCGGGGCGGGTAGGGCTCGCAGGACAGCCCTAGCCATTCTCTCCTGTAATCCGCCATCCGAACTTGTTGCGTTAATCTGGACACCTGCTGACGCAGGCTTAATTAATAACGAGGCAGCCCACGCAAGTGCTCGAGCTTTCACTATCCGAAAAAGCTCTCCCAGGGAACGTTTCAGAAACCAGCAAATTACCTATGTATACCTTAAGAAAGATTACTTACATGCGACGACATTTGCGGGCACTGCCACCTCGGTCGCCTATATAGACTTACCGCCTTTACAACGTCAGTTCTCCCGCAGGCGTGAGGTCCTCTGGCGTGAACTACAAACCCGAACTTTTCTCTCCCCTACCTTACGCCACAAAACTTATCCCGGACTTTACCCCAATTCCGACCGCAAGTTTTGTACGGTAAGGAAAGCGGACCTTAACCACATTATGTGGCAACGTCGAAATCACTCTCCTACCCCAAGCCTTCGTAAACAAATAAGTAGTCAGGAGCTGTGGGAGGCTGTCATGCGCAGGTACAACCCCGACCTTCAGGAGGCTACCCTGAGGTGGGCTGAGGTGGTAGAAGAGGCCTACTGCGAGTAGGATCCCTCACCTTCTCTCAGCCCTTTTCCCTTAAGATGGGATAAATAAAGTTGTTTCTCTCTCTCTCTCCGCCGAGTTGGCTCGCTGTTACGTTTTGCAACAGACGTGCCGAAAGCACCAGACAAGTTCCGTGTGAACGACGTTTATTGACCCATGCTTGTGGGTTCGTGGCTCCGGCAAGAAGAGGAGCGCTATCTCTGCTTTTTAACACCTAGTGGCGCATGCGCACTTCGCAGAGTGCTCTTATCAATGGAGCGCAAGCCGACACAACACTCGCGATATCAGATGCTTTCAACAACGCGGCGTCGCGGCGTCAATGTGACGATTGTGGGAGAGCATTCACCGAGGCGAACGCTGCTTTCGGCGGTAGTTTCTCAAGCGGCACAGTGACTTCGGCAGCGACGCCTGTGACCGCCTTTGGTTCGAGAAGAACCATTGTGATTAACGCATTGTAAAACGCTTTAACTGCTCATTACATTCCTTCATGACCATGCTCATGCGAGGCACAATGTGCGGCATGTGAAATAAACACTGGTAAATTCAAGCCAAGCGTGTGTCTAACCACATTAAGAAGCGCGAACGTGTAACGAGTAATTGTGAAACGCTTCAGTGCCACGTCGGGTTGAAGCCACTGCTAAACACTGGAGCCGCACGTTTCAGATTTTGCTGGTTAACCATTCGTACGGAGTGCTTGGGGGTGATTTTTAACTTTCAGATGTGACAGTCGATTGGTGGCGTATTTTGTGTATAAGCTGACAACGGCTTTCAGGCATCGTTTTCTCCTGGAGACCTGGTGAAGGTCATCGACAACCTGACACAACTGAAGATCCTCCAGCAGGGTCACGGTGGATATGTCGACAAGATGGCACGGGTGAGATGTGTCGTCATTCTCCACTGTAGATGATCATTTCGTTCCTCGAACGTCAACATTGTTGAGCTTTCTTCAACGGCAGTTAAAGGGAATTATTTACGCCGAAGCGGGCGTAGCCAGGCGTGTAGGAATGGCAGTGTTAAAACGGGACGCCAAGTGTGCCACATATCTCTGCCCAGTTTCAGCCGCACTCACTGTGTTAAGTGCATCCAGGGTTATGGTCATGCAGGTTTCTGTCAATAAGGATCCCTGATGTTGCGTCCCAAGAGGTGCTTGATACCAAAGTTTACCCCTGCAGAAAGCCGACGATAAATTGCAGACCTTTGTGAGGAGGAACGTGATCGGATAATTTCCATTTTTTGAGTTCGTAGCGAACATGACTTCCTTTCGGACGCAAGCAATCTGTGGAGACCATGGTCACTGCGCTGTAAACTTGTTTGTACTTCAAATGATTCAGCTGTTTATCACTAGTTGAATGCAGGCCTTGTAAGCCTCTCACGAATCACGTGCCACAGGGAAGAATGATGCTATAGTAGCTGCAGTCATAAGATTGGTATCGATGCGATGCCTCTTTACTGGTACAATAATCACAAGTTCTACAACTGTCTGTCATGTAGCGCTATAACGCCTACGCAGCTTGTAACGTGTTCACGCGTGAGTGTGTACCATATGCTGCGGACAAGTCCCACGTACCCATCATTTGCGACGCGATGCAGCATCCAACGGCACGTAGTGAACAGCACATGTTCCACGCACGGAGAACGGCGTAAAAGCAGACATGATGGGCGGTCACGGACGACTGTGGAACAGGCTCTATGCAAACAACGGGGTACAGATGCTCAGGATTATTTTGCCCTCTGTGTCAAACCGTTTATTGCAAATTGGTTTTGATATTTGTTGTTGCAGGAGAGCGCATATTGCTTTCTTTCTGAGCTGCATGGTAACTAAAATGTGAGTAATGAGCTTTATCTTTGATGTAGTGTTTCCTTCTTTCGTCTTTCTTTTTATTCCGCCGAAACGCGTGTGCATGCTGTGTTCTTTCGGTGATCATGTGCGAGAATAATGTATTCTCTCTTTGTGCTCATGTACGAGAGTTTTTCTATCCGGTCACTTGCTGAATCAACTGTAATCGGCTGGGAAGCTTAGTCAAGCTCAAAGGAGCTTTGTCTTCCAATGCCCCCTACTTTTTGAAACGGTAAAAAGAAACGTACAGTTTCGCCAAAAGCGTGAAACAATGAATGCGATAGCAACACATTCGAATGTTTTACGAAGCAAGGCTAGCATATTGAGGAGGAATAATAATTGTAGTAAACATGCGCTTGCTAAGTAACCAAGTTTCCTGCGGCGTGGCCACTGTGGATGACAAACAAGGCTCGTGCGTAGTGACGGCGTTGATGAGAAGCGCCTCCCGTGGGCAACGCATGCTGTAGCAGGCTATATGTCGTGTGTCACCGCTGGTGGCAGTTGGTTATGTGTAGAGCGGATCTATATGTGAACGGCCGCTTCAGTTACATTTTTGGCACCGTTTTTTCGTGTTGATAGCGCAGCCCGTAGAAGCTCCTGCCTGCTTTGGGGGCAAGAGCCACGCGCTTATCGTTGCCGTGATAGCGCGTCAACTATAAGCGCCCCCCCCCCTCCCTTTCTTCGCTCACGATATAGACGGTTTTCCACAGTTTCAAGCACGTGATATAATGGTCTCCTTTTCGCTTCTGCACCGTCGCCGATGGCCGGCCGATTCATCCCCGCCGCTCCCGGGTAGAAAGCCACCAAAGCAGGCGTAGAACATAGTCCTCGCCGCCCTTTTTTCATTTTCTTTTTTTATTCTTACGCACTGGCAGACATTAGGTGTCCTTCTCCTTCTTCAAGAGCCACTACCACAACCATTTCTCGCCGTAGGCTGCAAGGCAACGTTTGGAGCACGCCACATCGCGGCCGCGCTGCCGAGAAGGCCGTGGCACCATCTAGTTTTGCATAGACAAACTAGCTGCAGAAAAGCGTCTATAAGAGCGCTTGCAGATGACGTTCGCACCGCAGTTAGAGAAGGCTAGCGCATTTTCCCCCGTATATTTACCCGCGACAACATATATATGGCGGCGAGGGCAAAAACCAGCCGAGACTGTTCATATAATTGCTCTCGCAATAACAGTCGACTGTTTGACTCTTGCGGCCAGCGCTCGTGTGCGTGGTGCCCGCCCCGCCGTGGCATGGGCGTGGAAGTGCTGTTCGGGTCATGGAGAAAAAATGAATACGGCAATCAAGGGTTGTCGACACCACCGAGGGTCCGCAAGGACCACTGCAAGAAGCGTTGCAAGGAAGCATCATGAAGGGCATCATTAATGGCACTCGGCATCCCAAGGGGGCGTCATGAACATGATCCTATATAGCTTCGCTCGTGGATCATCTTCGCGAAGTGGATAGACAGACGTTGTGAAGGGCCAGTTGGTACATGATATTGAGGAGGAAACAGCGCAGAAACTGGACAAAGAAAAATGACCACACAACACAGCGCTTGTGTCCTTCTTTATTCGTCCCGTTTTTGCGCTGATTCCCCCTCAGTACTATTATATGTTTCAGTGCGCCCGTGCTGTCTCCCATCAGCTTCCATTGGGGACAGATGGTTCGAGGAATCCCATAGTACTAAGTGTTTAAAGAAGGGCAGTGTGTTTGTTCATTTTATTTACGTTTTGCAGTGCGTCGGGAAAGTTGGTGTCGTGGATCGTGTATATACGAGCCGAGACGTGGAGGTGATAGTCAACAATGAGTCCTGGACGTTCAACCCCCTATGTTTGACTTCACTGGGAAACAGTGCAGGCAGCGAAATCAGTTGAGTTAACCAAAGTTCTTCCTCACTTTTTGCAATTTTAAAAGCCCAGTGTATCCAAGGGCATGATCAAACAGAGAAAGCAAGAGAGCAGAGCCCACAGAGTATACTTTATTTTTATCTGAGGGCTTTGTTGTTTTCTATATACCACTAGCTTCTAGCGACATTACGTTCCTTGCTTGGCGACTTTTGGCCCGCTTCTTGTGAACCGTATGTTGAGATGCTCGGCTGTGTCTGAAAACCCAGAATAAGATGTTTTAGGTTAATTGTAAGACATAAATGCATAATTTTGCTTAAGATACGAAACACGAAACAAGACAGTCGGGATAACTAAGGAAGGTTATTTGAGTAAGATCATTGTAAGAGTGGACGGTTTTGTTGGAAGCAGCTGCTATTATTGCGGCACCTGGTGAACCTTATCTCAACCACGTGCTGATTTCAACAGCGTGATGGCGCTATAGGAGTTCATTGCGGAAGTCATGCAGAGGGAAGCGCAGCTGTCAAGTCCCAGCCTTGACGCAACTGTAAAGGGTAAAATAGTGCAAGTTAATCGAGCAATGGCAAGTACGCATCGAAACTGCACAAACTAACACATCACCTCACGTAAGTGAAACAAGGAAATCGACGTTTAGCAGTTCACTCTTTCGCTTAGTGGTACCCGTTTCGTGCCTTCTTTTGTGCAGTAAGTACTAGAGGCTCTATACTGCCGCCCTAGGTACTCGAATTAGCATTTCGGTCACCTAAGTTATTTTTGTAAAGGACTCATCTATCTGTGAAGAAGAAGATGCACCTTTGGCAAGCCGCATCGCCAACGCCTTGGTACTGGGCTCTTCTCTCACCTCGTGCTGATCGTCACCGGCATCTGCTTTAAAGGCTGTTCTGTTCCGATTGCGTTTTATTCGTGGAGCCGCCGTCACAGCACACGTCAATAAACCCCTTTTCCCATCATTCTTTTTTGGGGGGGTGGGGGTGGATGACTGTGACTCAACTTTGGTTCCTGGAAATATTGATAGGTCTTATCGACTTTCTGACGGTGTGTCTGAGACACATGTATTCGTAGACCCCACAAAGAGAGACAAAGAGAGAGTACGAGGAATGCATTTTTATTGAATGGCCAGGTTTTCGTCTGAGTAACAACTGAGTCGTTTCCTTCTTCCTAAATGTCGCGAACTTAAGCTGCTCGTATTCACAAGCTAACCACTGAAGCAATGTGTACGACCGGGCCATGGGGTATCTTGTTGTAGGATGCAAAGCCCACATACGGAGAAACTGTCAGCACACTTTACAGCGCTCACATTTTACCCACACGTTTGAAACAGCCCGTATATTGGGGTCATACCTCGTCGGCCAAAAAGGTCGTGAGGCGGTTCGTAGCGCGCTCCACGGGGAGGCATCCGTTGCCTTTCTTTCAATCGCCCGAACATGTTGTCAATTGACAATTACGGTTTACCGTTGGCGTGACAGCGGGGGTCACGGAGGGCGTGGTTAAAGGAATAGTGTTACCGTGCCGCAAGCGTTCGTTGCGAACAGCGCTTTAGTTTAGCGGGATAGCGTTTACGTGCTTTGTGTACCTCTGCATGAACAGTGGCGCCATTTAGCGGAGGTTGAATAAGTTGAAGCACAGTGAAAGGTAAAAGAAAACGACAATGCTTGGTTGTGTCACCGCTCCAAGCAATGCTAAGTTTTTGTAGTAATAATAAAGGTAAATAAATATGAACGACGCACCAAACGCCAAAGTATTTGTTGCCCAATTGATCTTCTACATTGATCTTCTAGTTAAGTCCAGAGACGTTCAAAACGGGAAGCTGTCTCAAAAACTGCGCTAACTTATCCGTAATATTCGGTCATCGAAGCTAAATGAAGGCAGACGAAGCCATTTGGAATTGTCGTTTGCTGCGAACATTGTGAATCTTTTAACAACTACACCGAAATCGCATCAAAGCGGGCTTCCGAACCCACCGGCATGTTTTACCTACTACAGGCTGTAAAGGTTTTCCTAGTGTCGGGAGTGGTCCCTGTGAAAGCAGCTGCCCCGCCGCGGTGGTCTGGTGGCTAAGGTACTCGGCTACTGACCCGCAGGTCGCGGGTTCAAATCCCGGCTGCGGCGGCTGCATTTCCGATGGAGGCGGAAATGTTGTAGGCCCGTGTGCTCAGATTTGGGTGCACGTTAAAGAACCCCAGGTAGTCAAAATTTCCGGAGCCCTCCACTACGGTGTCTCTCATAATCATATGTTGGTTTTGGGTCGTTAAACCCCACAAATCAATCAATCAATCTGTGAAAGCAGTTTGGATGCTCGGCGAGCGGGCGGATGAGGGCACTGCTGCTCTCGGGTGGGTGGTAGCCGAAGCAGCTAAAGGAATGCAGACGAAGCCTCCAGTTTGCTAAAACGCATCTCGACGGGTATTATATTTTTCGCGCCACAATTTTGCTTTGACACGGCAATGATACGACTTGATGCGATGCAACGGGTCACAATTCCGCGACAATTCTCTCTCAAAAAAAAAGAGAGGGAGAGAGAGGCGTGTTTTGTTCCTTGTTGTAAATGCCGTTACAAGTCGTCAACGGAAACGGTCTCGGTGTTCCGTTCTCACTGTTCGTTGTTCTATGTTGTTCGTTGTTCCGCGTAATGCACGGGTAATCAAAGAGGCGTATAAGAAGGGCTTATTGACTGACACTTCAAGTGATGCCACATATTACCAGATTACACCACTATTTTTATGCATCTGTAAAAATGCGCGTGAACTTAACCTTCCAGCTATTTAGCGAGGAAGTGTTAAAAGAAATCTTTTCTTACAAAGATCACCCCAGCATGCACTATAGCACAACTGATTCAACAAAAGATCGTGTGAAGAATTTGGAAAGGTTGGTATATGTAATAATCTCAAGAAAGCGACTTTCTCACTGGATTTCATGCCGACCGGTTGTGTCCCCGCGATCTCCGATGACAGCGTAGCTATGGCCGACTGACTCGCCCACGCCATCTCTTGACGCCGAAAAGAGCTCTCGCTGAGTGGTGCCCCGTCCTCAGACTCCTGCGACCATGTCCATCTTTCCCATCTTCTCTTTACTTCCATATGTGGTCTCTATGTCCCTGCGCCTCTCTCTATTTCTAATCCTCCCTATCCTTTTTAATTCCTCCTTACACCCATCCCTCGTGAGCTACTGTTGAGGTGTCGCACTGTGATGCAGACAGTTACGGGGCTCACCTTTTTCTTTCTTTCTATCTTTTAAGAGTCATTTATATAATAATATCAAGAAATCGTCTAAAGGCCTCCGTCAGGCCTCGCCAAGTGCGAAGTTTTCTAAAATGGCTGAAAGTATACGTATGAACGGCTAATCTATAGCATGACGTGAAAACATGTTCGGAAACGTGTATTTTATCGTTTGGTTGCAATGACCACACTTCCTTCGCCTGAATAGCGTTTAATCGCCGTAAACGTACATGTTGTTGTGATGTTGTAAGGCTTTTTTGAAAGGGGAACTTAACTGGAGACTCCATAACTTTGCTCTTAAAGCCTGCAGCTGATGTTGCAAAAGGAAAGGCTCTCGTCTGATAGCAATGATCGATGAACTACTGGGTGGTGACAATTCGGAACGGGCCGAATCTCTGTTAAAAACACAAAGCAAACATCTTGTCATGACAACTGCATCGAAAAGCAGAGCAATAACAGGTTAGTACATTACACAGTTGGCTTGGACTCAGAGAGTCTCCGTAAAGACTTTCATGCCCCGAGTGTGCCTCATGCCTTTGTATTTTGTCTCTATAGCAGCAGAGCATGATGAAAATTTTATATCAATAAGGCAGTTTGACCATGGGAGCTCGACCCTTCTAAAGCAGTTGAGGATCTTGTTTCAAAAGTTGAAAAAATATTTAATTGTGTGCTTTAGCAAGAGTGAGCTTCAAGGTGAAAACTTGCCGTGCTTACCGCGTTTTGGAGAGGGAATGAAAGAAATTTAAAAAAGTGGAGTGCAATGAGCATAGGCGGAAATTCACAACTAACATAATTCTACGCGCTAACACGGCTCCACTTCTTTGCCATAGCGAAGAAAAAAAAACATCGACAGAAGTATGCAGAAGGAAAAGCACTAAAGTCGCCTCTGAAGGAGGTGGTGTTAGTAGATTATCATTTTATCGAGCCCTCATAACTGGTTTTGAAAAGATTGATTTGATTGATAGGTGAGGTTTAACGTCCCCAAACCACCGTATGATTGAGAGACGCCGTAGTGAAGGGCTCCGGTAACTTCGTCTATCTGGGGTTCTTTAACGTGCACCCAAATCTGAGCACACGGGCGGACAGCATTTTCGCCTTCATTGAAAATGAAGCCGCCGCAGCCAGCATTTGATGCCGCGAACTACGGGTCAGTAGCCGAGTACCTTAGCGACTAAAACAGCGCGGTGGGGTGGCTTTGAAAAAAACGTTCGTTATACAGTGTCATTATACAGCATTATGTGCAGTTTTCTAAGGCATCAATAAAGCGTATGCAAGAGTCCAACACATTGCATTCAGTTCATTTCTTCCTACATTTGTGGCAATTTTGGTGCCACTTTTCCGGATGAAAAAAAAAAAAGTAATTTTTATGACTGTTTCCTGAGCTTTTAATTCATCACTCTGAGCCAAACAACAGCGCAACAGGTACGAGGTCTGATATGTACAGTGTGAATTTTTTATGAAAGGGAACACGGGAAAACGTGGCCTCCGTGCTCCGGTGGCTGCTGGCAGCGCGTTTAAGCGGAAGCGAGAGCAACAGCCTCTTTTCTCATCATTTCGCGGTGAAAAATACAGCCGTCCCTTGGTGATATGGAACCAGTGCCAAGATTGCAACCCCCTCCCCCTTCAAGTCGATTACTGGCTCTCGATTACCGGCTGCCGGTAGTCGCTTTGAAGGGGGAGGGGTTGCAATCTTACGTTCTGTATCAGCAACGAATGGTTGTTTTGCTCACCGCGAATGATGCCATAAAAGACTGTGGTTTAAAACCCCTTGATCTTGGGAAATTAACGACACTTTTTTCTACGCGCGCGTTTCCTCCTCGATTCTCCTCTCCCGCTTGTTGTTCGCGGGGCGGCATTTCTTGCTAACGCTCTCGCGGGCGCGCCTCAGAATTCAATGAAGGTGGGTTATTTGAGACAGTTTACGCGCCGCAGTAATGCTGAAAATTTTCTAAAAAGTGATAACAAAAGTAAGAACACTGAGGAAACCGTTTATTAAAGGATTAGCTTCGTTTAAAGGCTGTATAGGTGGGGCATAATAATAAATAAAATTTTCATGTGGCGTCCTACGATGCGGATGCGTTTCTGCCGCATTGTAACATGCTGTACGTTTGCATCTGGTGTAGTTCCGCTTGTGGCATGTCCGTCTGCCTTCAGATTTTTTCGTGGTTGTGCGCCAACATACGACACAGGTACTTACAGCGTCACACATTGCAATGACTTCGCTGATGGTGGATTGTCTAGCCATGTGTCTATCTTCTCGGCGTGAAAGTAGTTTCGCGCAGTGGCATCCAAACTGAAGGGCTTTAAGCAATGTCAATACGATCAAGTGTCGCCAACAGTGACTCATCAACCACAATAGCAGAAACATAAGAAAATAATTCATTAGAACTGTGTTTTCACTTTTTTGTGAAAGAAACTAGCGATCGAGTTACTTGTGAGAAGAGAAACTTTGCACCAGGATTGTCATCATAATCTGCGCGTCCATAGCGAGTGAAAAATCTTATCCGGACTGACTGATCTCAGTCAGACGTACCCATGGGACACTGGTATAAAAGATAATACAGTTTTTTTATTGGAGAATGGAAGACATGCTAATGCAGGCGTGACCAAAACGATTGTGGCCACGGTCTCCTAGAAAACGGCTAGGTCGCTATCACCGTGCTATAGCTTTCTTTCGTTGCACTTCTGCATTTATTTCTTTCGATGGATTGCATCTCTTTCTGAATTTTTTATGTTAATTCCCCCCCCCCCCAAAAAACAAATAACAAAATAAATACTCTCATAAAAACGAGCGCCAATTCGCGTCATTTCTATATATCCATTCATTTGTTTTCTTCAACAAACGTTTTTGTAAACTGAACCTAACAGTCACAAAAAGCGCAATCGAGAAGCTGTGTCATTCCCCGTAATTGTTCGCAGCGAAAGCAGACTTTCATTGTGCTTTTTCTACGATTTTTGAGGTGCGTGCGAGGCAAAGAAGTAGGAGCGCAATATTTTTATTTTATTTATTTATTCAGTCATACTGAAAACTATCATTTTGGTTTTCTCTTTCAACAAACATGTATTCATATGCTAGCAGAGGTCACAAATCTGTGAAACAGCAACGAAATTTATAACACGTTTGAACTTTCTAATCACCAAGTAGATAACGTTCCGGCGACACAGCGAAATTGTCAGCCGAAAAAATCTCATGAGGCAGTGAATTACATTTATCTACTGTTCAGAGAAAATACTTTTATTTGAGGGCATTAGTTCGTGGAAATATGGGTGCTAAGAATCGATCATGTTTACGGTAGGTGTTCCTAGCAGTGGTTGGCTGAACGCAGCAAGGTATATTTAAGGCAACTTTTCTTGGCAAAATTTTGCGTAAAAACGTTGAACGATACGAATTTCTTCTTGTTTCTACCAAAGGAATTCAGCATCCTGATGACAACTCCACTTTGAAGCAACGCACGAATACCCGAAAAAAAATCACATGTCCATGAGGTGAATGATGACGAGTGGGGCGAAGCGTGCGAACGGACGGACGCACAGACGAATGGACGGATAGAAGTACACACGGACGTACGGAAGCGTGGACGGACTGATGGACGCTTCGTTGATTGATTTGTGGGGTTTAACGTCCCAAAACCACCATATGATTATGAGAGACGCCGTAGTGGAGGGCTCCGGAAATTTTGACCACCTGGGGTCCTTTAACGTGCACCCAAATCTGAGCACACGGGCCTCGACATTTCCGCCTCCATCGGAAATGCAGCCGCCGCAGCCGGGATATGAACCCGCGACCTGCGGGTCAGCAGCCGAGTACCTTAGCCACTAGACCACCGCGGCGGGGCGATGGACGCTTCGTCCCACTCACAATCATTCACTCTGTGGATATGCTGTGACACCGTTTTTATTGACATCCAATGCAATGCAACTGGCTACTAGACGACACGGGACATACGACCCACGGCGTAGCGAGCTTCGCGCCTAAAAGCACGTATGTTGATGAGCAGGTTTAAACAATATTTCAAATGCAGCCTTCGGTGATGCTTTGATGCGAGCAATAAGAAAGGCGCCTTACCTCGCAAAGTACACTGTTCTTTGTCGGAATGAAGTTTTTTCGGCCGATGTTGTACAGCCGCTGCTGCTTGCGCAAGCCATCGCGTTTGTCTTGGGGTATCGTAAAAAAAGTACGTAACCATTTTCAATGCGGTTGTTGCAGTCATAGTCGCAATAGCACGGCTTAGCGCCCGCACAAGGCACGGAAAACGAAGCACGCGCTACGTTCGTTACACAGAGCGTTGGTGAAAAATGGAGCGGGCGAAAAAGAAAAACGCAAGCAAAGCGCAAGATCCACGCGTCTCCAAGGGCAACCGCGAAGGAGACCAATCATCGTGCAGAAAAAGTGTCGGAGACCGGGAGGACGCGAAGGGGGGTGAGGAGAGAGGGATGAGGTCGAGCGCGCTGTGGTGAGTACAGTTACAGTGTACTAGAGGAGTCACTTCTAGTACACTCTAGTACAGTGGATGGCAGTACTTTCCCAAGATCAAGGGGCTTTACTGTGGTTGCTCTCGCTCCCTCTTGAACGCACTGCCAGCAGCCGCCGGAGTGCGCAGGCCATGCGATACCGTGTTCCCTTTCATAAAACTTGACACTGTACAAGCAAAAACCCAAGCACACGATATCGTTTCTGTGTTTTATCAATCGTCTCCGTTGCACTGCTGTTTTAACTATGGTCCAACTCGCCCAAACTAAAGTTTTATTTCAAAGATCGTCGGTTTCACAGGCTCGCTATTGTTCGAAGGCTGTAGGGACCTGACATGTGATTGTATGCCTGTTTTTGGAACTTGCGTTATCTTGAAAAAGCATCCCGCGCAGCAGCGGCCGACGGAAAACACTACTCACTTGTGAGCGCCCGCCGAAAAGCGCACCCGCCAGCGAGCGACATCTACCGAACAAAGTATGTCACATGGTCCGTGCCTTTCACGATGCAACAGAAAAGCCTCCTAGGCTCTAAATGAACACGGTAACGTTATATCTGAAAAATAGCGCGTGAACAGTGAGCGGAAAGGGTCACGTACGTTACTGTGCATGCGCATTTAGATACCGCTATCCCGGTAAGCCTGGTAAACTTTAACTGTCTAGTAAAAAGGAGCAGATACGAGATGATGTCGCAGAGACTATAGCGTTCGGAGGAACCGTTAGGGTCGCGTGTTTTAAGTTCTTCATAGAATGTTTAACACTGATGCTGGTTCACTACATATGTGAAGCTCGCGGGGCAATTCACCACTTGCCGCCTGCCTTGAATCTTTCAACAGGAGCAAGGCTGCGTGCCCGTGCAAGTGGCAGGGATGTTTCCGACGAAATCGCCGAACACTTCACCCGTGCTTTCTTGGGCTCGTTCGAAGCTTCGCTTGGACTCAGAACCAGTGGCCGCAAGACGGTGAGATTATCGACTTCACGAGCTCGCTTTAGAATGCAGATCTGCTTACCTTAGCTTTTAGTTGTGCAATCCAATAAATCTTACGTTGTTTGCTATCTAAATGCTAAACTAATCCTCTATCATATTTTGCTTAAGGAGACCGACAACCAGTGTTTATGGTACCTGCTTTCTTTAGCACTCCCGAAAGCTCTGGTCACATTGTGTAATCAAAGAATGGTAAAGATCAAAATGCGCTTAAACACCTGTAATCAATTTTTTGCCGGCTACTATAATGCCGTATACGCGCAACATTTTGTTACGATCAGTGGAAGGCGAGTGCGAGGTTGGTTCGTGTTATTGCGCAGCGGTTTGCCGCACATACTTGCAATCTGCGCGCATGCGCGCGGCTCGACATGTTTCGTTAGTTGTCGCGATGGTAACGCCGTAACTCAGCGTTCAACTCAGTTTATATCGTAAGCAACAAGGAATAGAGCGTGGGAGTAAGACCACCAGGTCTTAAAGGTGAATGCACGCCGAAGACAACTCCAGAACAAATAATGTCACCACCAATATGCTTAGAAGCGCCTGGTGGAAGCAAGACAAGACCACTTCTCAAGGCGAGTGGAAACGGAAAGAATACCGCGAGGACACAGATGCAAGTCCCTTGTACTGCATTTAGGTTCCCCTCTTTTAGGAAGCTAAAAAAAATGGCAGCATATCCACGGAGTGAATGATGGAGAGTGGGGCGAAGAATTCGTCCGTCCATTCGTTCTTGCTTTCGTCTGTCCATGCGTCCGTCAGTGTGACCGTCTATGCGTCATCAGCCCGTCCGTGCGTGCGTCTGTTCGTGCGTCCGTCCCTGCGTTCGTCCATGCAGCCGCTCCTGCGTCCGTTCATGCGTCCATCCATGCATCTGTCTATGTGTCCGTTCGTCCATCTATTCAACACTCCAAGTACCACCATCTCGCATCTTTTCATCATATATTCCCCGTATAGAAGCACCGCCATCCAGCGGACATTCCAAGGACTAAACGAGAGGTGACACATGCACACTTTCTTACGGCTTGCGCTTTGGGTCTACTTCCCACCTTTAACCACCTCGAGTTCATGGTATATACTAGTTCACTGTATTCATGGCACTGCGGCCCAACGCTCGCTAAACCTTTCGAAAACCAAGGAGGTTACGCCCAGCGAGTATGACGTAGCAAACTTTTTCAGTCAGTGCTCAATGTACATGCCAATGGCTGCTAATGGGAAACGAGAGGCGGAGGCGTAGCAACCCTTTCTTGTCAGATAGTGCTCAATGTACATGCCAATGGCTGCTAATGTTGATCGCAGCCAGCGCGTTACCTAAAAGCCGAATGCTCCTGTCTCTCATTCCCCATTAGCAGCCATTGACATGTACATTGAGCACTATTTTTTATTGTTCAACAACGCACAGAAGAAGTCTCTCACCGGCACCGCCTTGGAGGTCAAAATGTTATACTTGTTACATACTACGGGAGACGAACGGGTGCCGCTATAAGGAGCTTTGCCCCTAAAACGTCAAGGTTGAGGGCAATACGGAGGAGCCATCTTATTTGAGCAAAGAATGGCGATAAACGAAATGGCAGAGATTGAGACACAACATGTATTTCTTCAAGCGTCATCCAGGAACTTACACCCGGTGATTGATATAAGAAAGCATAGCGACCTGCAGAAGCTCCGGCGCGTCACCGCCTGGGTCTTTCGCTTTGTGGATCGATGCCGTGGACTTCAAACTTCACTCAGCGAATCAATTTAGGCACGGGAGCTAAGCAAGTCTGAAATGTTTTGGGTCCAATATGTTCAGCTGGAAGTATTCGCGAACGACGTCGAACAACTTCAGCTTGGACACACTCTCCCCAAACAGTCTATGCTGATCGATCTTCATCCTTCCTTGGACCAAAACAGACAACTTCGGCTTGGCAGACGATTCGAGAGAATGGACGCCACATATGAGGAAAAACATCGGGTCATACTGCCACAGAGACATCCTTTCACGTCTCTGGTAGTGATTGAGGCTCACTGCAGAGCTTTGCATGGTGGTGTGGCAAGTACTATGATGCAAATACGACAGCGGTATTGGATCATCTGCGCTCGACAAGAAGTCAAGCGAATGACATACGTAATCGGGTGCAGCAAAGTCTTTCAACACCGGCACCATTCATAAATGACCCCTGAGACTGGCAAGACGGTCGGTGTCGGCTTTTTCAGAAAACCAGTACAGAAGTTGTACAGGCTGGAATTGAGCGACGCTACTGGGGGGCGGGAGTATGTTGGAAAAAGAAAATAAATAAACGTGTGCAGGCTAGTATACTCCAAGAGAAGAAGAGGAAGAAGTTGGAAACAAGGAACGGTGTTCGGTCTGGTTTCTTCACCGATTGACAGTTTTCCTTTACATCGTGGTTCCGAAACCCCTCGTGCGGACACGTCTCCTTCATCGCACGACTCGAGGGGACATTCTACTCGACCGCACCGTTTTGAAGGCGGCGAGAACTGCGACGAATCGTTCCTGATCGGCGTCGACCAGACTAGACCATTCTCATACAGCAAGATGTACAGATCTATGTGTATGCCGATGATATTGCATTTTTTGCTGCGTCGGCGGACATTCACACACTGTACCCGATTCTGCAGACATACATGAATAGTCTGGAAACATGGCTGGAGGATATCAACCTATGCCTCAATACAAACAAAAGTACAATCATAGTTTTCGCACAAAATGCCCCAGTGCGAATTTCACTAATGTACCGACAGGACGCCATACCTCAGGTCGAGTCAGTTAGGTACTTGGGGGGTAACCTACACCGAAACGCTTAACTGGAGTCCCCACATAGAAAACATGTCTGCTAAAGGAGCACGTGCCGTAGGGATGCTGCGCAGGCTCAGTAATTATCGTGCCGGTTTGCGGAGAGACGTGCTCGTTTTGATATATTGCATGTATATTCGACCGATATTAGAATTCGGCTGTGTTTTGTTTTCTGGCGCTCCGGCCTACAAAGTTCGACCACTGATTCTGCTAGAACGCGAATCTTTTCGTTTATGCCTAGGGCTACCCAAATATGTTGCCAACAATATCCTATATAAAGAATCCCGCCTGCCTTCTCTTATCAAAAGATTTCATATTCTAACAGTACGTACATTCCTTAAAATCTATGCATCACCTCAGCGGAGGTCACAGTATGTGTTCATTAACCAGCAGACCTCGTTCTTCAACCACCAATGGCCTAAATTAAGGTGTCCTCAAGTAATATTTACTCAGAAAATTTTGGAGCCCTTAAGAATTAACCTTTGGGAAACACTTGTGCTCAACACTGTAGATGCAATTAGGATAGAATTTGACAATATATATCCCAAGAATGCAAAACATTTACCATATCAGTATATAAATGGCATTTTGGAAGATCATTTGGTCAATCTAGAAACATCCATTGCGATAGCGACTGACGGTTCGGTTTATGAAGAGAAGGCTGGCGTAAGAATCGTATCATCCTCTCTATATTGGGCTTTCTCAATTCGATTACCCGACTTTACACTTATTTACCAAGCTGAACTACTGGCAATAGTCCTAGCATTGCGCAAAGTGCCGCAAGATCTATCAGTAATGATTGTTCTAACAGACTGTCTCTCGGTCTGTACTGCCTTAAGCTCACCAACTTTTTCGCGTACCTTAGAAACTTTCTACTCGCTCATTCCTACACATGTGCGACTCGTCCGACTAGTTTGGGTACCAGGCCATAGAGGTTTAGCTCTGAATGAGCATGCAGATGCACTAGCTGTATGTTCCCTCGATTGTTCTGTTTTACCTATTTTGCCTACTTCGGAATGTATCACAGCAGCACGCTTTGAAAAACGCACAACGGCCAATAACTTTGAAAAATCCCCTTTTGTTTGTATCAGACTTCCCACAGCTAAAGTTCCCTTGGAAGAACAAGTGGTGTTCATCAAGAAAGGAAGAAACAGTGATTACCAGGCTGCGTTGTCGAGTCCCCTCATTGAACTTTTACCTTCACAGGTCGGGTCTGGCACAGTCACCTTTGTGCCTTTATTGTAATGAGAGGGAATTTTTGGAGCACTTCTTTTTGTCATGCCGAAAATTCAAAACTCAAAGGGAAAATCTACTAGAAGAACCTCTACGAAAGTTGGGCTTAAACTTGACACTTCCGGTGATTCTTTCATTTGGCGCAGTCGCATTTAGATTCAGCCACAGGAGCGTTTTTACCGCTGTTACAAATTTCTTACGAGAATCTAAAAGAATGGAATGCTAAAAATAAGTAACTTCTGTTGTTTTATGTATAATTTTTTTCCTTTTTTGTATGTTTATTATGTTTTATTTTCAAGGTTTCTTTGTTTAGAAATTTAACACCTTTTTATTATTACCTATATTACCCAATTAATCCAACCCTCTCTTTCAAGAAGTGAATTAATTTAAAAAGCAAGGCACAGTCCCATTCATGGCCTATCCCCCTAGGTGGGTTGCGCCAAGGTGTTGAGGAATCAACCAACCAACCAACCAGACTAGACTTCAACACCGGATCCGATGAATCGCCTCAAGACCAAGCGCTCCGCTCGACGAGCCCAGATCACCAAGCTCGTGCAAGAAGCAAGGTCACTGCTAAGTGGCCTTACCGCGGACAAGCCCAAGCTCACAGGTATTTATGACCGTTTGTCAACGAGCAACAACAAGCTATCGAAGATCAATGATGCGCTCGAGGAGTACCTAGTGGACGAGGAGCTCGAGGCTGAGTATGTCGTGGCAGCAGAGTATAACGACAAAGCTATAAGCATGCTCGCTGAGATTCGCTGCAAGATAGACGGTTTGCGACATGGAGACAGTACAGCAGCGGCTGCTCCTCAGAATGCAAACTCATCACCTTCTGATGTGACAACCGCACTTGGCCCAAGGCTGCCGAACCTTGGCATGCCAACATTTAGAGGTGATATACACGAATGTTCGGCTTTCCGGGAGCTGTTTGAGCAAACTGTCCACCTGGACAACGCTTTGTCAACAATGACGAAGTTCTTCTATCTACGTCATTATCTCGAGGGTGAAGCGGCAGCTGCGATATTTGGTTTTCCGACTTCCGAAGCCTGTTATGCAGATGCGATCGAGTTATTGAAGGAACGCTTCGGAGATCGAAAACGAATCGAGCAACACCACCTATCAGCGCTTCGCAATCTACCTCACATCAAGTCGGGAAGCGACGTCCGTGGCCTTTGGCGACATTATGATGCTGTGCAGCTGAATATCCGTTGTCTAACTGCGCTAAATGTTCCTATGCTTAGCTTTTCCGCTATGCTGATTGACATTTTACAGAAAGCCCTACCGTGCGACATCATTTTGGCCTACACACGTGCAAAGCGCAGTCAGGCACTGATAGAAAACGGGTCTGCTGCCAATGTCCTTGAGCCAAGCGTGGCAGCTGCTACATCTGATGCGGAGTTAAAGGAGCTGCTCACCTATACACGTATAGAGCTGGAAAGTCGGGAGCAGTGCAAGCCCTTTAATGACCAACTGCTGGATGACCGTGCGCAGAGGACTCGAAGCGGCAGCACCAGCATGGCTTCCGTGCTGCACAACACATCAAGCAGCTGGGGTGACTTTTTTTTCTGCAAGTCGAAGAAACATGGCACACGCGCTTGTGACGCGAACCTTGCCATTCATTCGAAGAAAGAAATGTTTGCGAAAGACAACCACTGCTATCGATGCACGTCGCGAGGACATCAGGCACGTTCGTGCCACGTCAAACTCACCTGCTCGAGTTGCCACGGGAGGCACGCATCAAGTATGTGCGACCCGCACTGCACATCGAACCAACCAACGACACCTCGTCCAGTTGACGCCTCCGGCAGCACAGTCGGAATGGTGTCGTCACAATCAGTTATGCTGTGTGACAAGGATTCACTGAGCGGGGGCACAACAAATCACAGTGAAGTTTATCTACAAACGTTTCGCGCCTTCGTCACCAAAAACGACAAAACAAGGTATGTCCGAGGGATTCTCGACGGAGGGAGCCAGCGATCTTTCGTCACGGTAGATCTCGCCAAGATATTACACCTACAGGTGCTGGGAGAAACTCAAATTGCGCTGAATACGTTTGGCTGTTCATCACCAAGTACTGTGGAAAGACGGCAAGTGGTAGAAGTTCCTCTGCGTAGCCAACACGGTTCTGACACCTGCACGTGGCGCGCAATCGTTGTTCCAGTTATCTGTCGCGATACTGCTTCCCCGAAAGCTGACAGCGATTTCCTTCGGAACCTGCGTCTTGAAGGCAAAGTCATTGCGGACGAAAGGAAGTTTGATGCGGGAACGGAAAATAGCCTCAGCTTGTTGATCGGTGCTGACCACCCCTGGCAAATCATGTCGGGACGTATCGTTAAACGTGCAGAAGTTCCAGGACTGGTAGCAATCGATACAGCCTTTGGATGGACGCTACAAGGACCCAGTCACCAAAAAGTCTTTCTTGACTGCAGCTCTAGCCTAATGGTCTGCATTCTGAAAGTGCAAGCGATTGGTGAGGACGAATCGACCGCACAGACCTTGCAATCTTTTTCGCAACCAGAAGCAATGGGCATCGCAGATTCAACGGAACCTTTCTCCCACAAGTCCGTTGCACGATTACATAAAACCATTAGCAAGAAAAGCGACAGATACACTGTGGCGTTGCCTTGGAAGGAAGATAAGAAACCACTTCTAGGGAACAACCGGGAAATCGCGCTATCGCGTCTACAAAGATTAACACGGAGGCTATCAACAATGGAAGGAGTGTTGCAGCAATATGACATAGTAATACGGCAATATTTGGAGTTGGGTCATGCGGAAGTGGTGCCTAAGGATACTCCTCGGCATCGAGATCACACCATATATTATATGCCACATCGGGAAGTAATAAGAGAGAGACTAGAAGAAAGCGGAAGCAGAAGGGTTACAAGGTAAATGCAGCAACGTACAGAAAGCAAAGGAAAAGGTTACTCAAGTATAGCTACACGAGATCTTTCTGGAAGACTCTTATCTGTGAATTTTCACGCCAAGAAAACTTGCTCAGCGACAAAGCAGGTTCATCAAGGTCAACGCGTCTAGAAGCACGAGTTTGGAACAAGCATCGGAAATACCGCTGGAAGAGCCGTCACAGGAGAAAACTTCGGTTGTCCCATATGGACTGACTTGGAACTTGATCAACTACTGTCTAGTATTGTGTACTAAGAACCTGGGCGTGTGTTTAGTGTTTTTCATCGTCATGCGTCATTATGGGGGCGCGGAGAATGTTAAATATTGAGTGAACGACGAAGGTAGTCGCTATCATCATTAGAGGATTAGACCGGCATTCGAAATAAAGAGGTTGACGGGTGGGCTTCGTCATGGGCACGGCGGCTCGTCCTTTTCTTAAAATTAGTATGCGTGCAATAATTTTCATCACAATTTATGATGCGCATGAAAGCATCACATTTCGTACAGCATAGTGCACGACTCCATGATAATCCCGGTGCAAGGCTCTTTCACTATACTTGCGGGTAACACCGAGGAGACGCGATCCAAGGAAGCCGAGCTCGAGCATCTTCAATGCGTTCCGCCTCCCGTGTCTGCGTTTCAAAGAAACCTTTACTCGAGTAAACGCTACACCGAGTTTAGCTTCAAACCGTTCTTCAAGCACCCGCCTCAACGCTCGTTTCAACCGGATCAACGCCGTGCGCACCGCTTCTGCTTTGCATCCCATCAGGATTTCCTTCGGGGAGATAATCTATAGTTTTTTTGGGGGGGCGAAGCTCTTTAATCATTCCATCCGTGCTTCCGGACGCCCGTTCGTTCTTGCTTCCGTCCATCCGTGCGTCCGTGCCTCCATCCGTTCATCTGTACGTCCATCCGTGCCTCCATCCGTTCATCTGTCCGTCCATCCGTGCCTCCATCCGTTCATCTGTCCGACCATCCGTCCGTCCATCCGTGCGTCCATCCGTGCATCCATCTGTGCGTCCGTCCATCCCTGCGTTCCTCCATGCGTCCATCCATCTGTCCGTTCCTGCGTTCCTCCATACGTCCATCCGTCTGCCCGTTCCTGTGTTCCTCCATGCGTCCGCCCGACTGTCCGTGCATTCATTCGTCCATCTGTGCATCCATATGTTCATCCGTCCGTCCGTCCGCCCGTCCGTCCGCGCACCCGCCCGTGCGTGCGTCCGTGCGTCCGTGCGTGCATCCGTGTGTCAAACAGACAGATAGACAGACAGACAGACGACGGACAGACGTGGCCAGCGACTGATTCGTGGTTTGCGGATAAAAAGTATGATACGCGCAAGGCGGTGGCGGCTCGCGCTCGAAGACGGAACCCCGATGTGCGATGGCGCGAGCAAATAGGAATAACGTCACACGAATACGTTGGCGATCGCGTGCTCGTCGGCGGCGCTGTACGCTAGGGGGCGCGGTGTAGTAAAATAAAAGCCGTATTGGCGCGTGCGCGCGCGTTCCGAAAGTCGGCAGGTGGACAAGGCTGCAGAGCGGCGTGCCCGCAAGGCGGCGGCGGCTCGCGCTCGAACACGGAACCCCTATGTGCGAGTGCACGAGGCAGGAGCGTGCCGTGAAGCTGTGCGACGGTGCCGACAAGATCCCGACGTACAAGAACGGGAGGCCGAAGCGGCGCGGCAGTGGCGTGCGGGCCCAGCTTCGCTCCACTCTCCATAACTCACCCCGTGATTATGCTGTCATTTTGTATGTTTGCTATCACCGGTAATGCGATATATGGGTGGTCATCATTACGAGAATTCATTTTTATAGTGGTAATAAATATGGCTTCATTTCTCTCTTCCAGGCTTGCAAGTTTTCGGTCGGTCAGAAGGTGAAGATTTGCGGTGACAAGACACGAGTGAAGCTTTTGCAGCTTGGCCATGGGGGCTATTCCAACGACATGGAATCTGTGAGTATGTAATGTAATTCCTCGAAAGTACACAGGCGTCGTCATTCTAGGGGTGCACTGTCAGCGCACAAGTGTTTCAGTTCTCCACGTCCATCGTGTTATTTAGAAGTCAGGGTGAACGCACCCACCCGGAGTCGAATTTAATTGCCCCAATTCCTCCGCAAAACGCATTCGCACAAGCATCTACGAAGCGATACGCAATTCAGTCTGACGTTAGGAGCAGCACTACCGTAAAGTCTTTAGAAGTAAGTAGCGTCATGCGCGTCATTATGCAGGCTCCCCCTTCCCCCGAGCTTGGCAGCCTTGGAAGTGTAAGTGCCATTTTGTCTGTCCTCGATCTCGCATTTTCTTTTACAACCACGACAACACCGCCCTGTGTTTTTCCCCGTGCGCCAGGAGAGGATATGACTGTGGCCGTAGTTGGCTGCTGGACGTTCAAGGGGTGCCCCTGCAGCTGCTGAGAGAGGAGGCAGAGATGAAGGAACGGGGTTGGTGCTACTTTAGATTTTTTAGGCAGTTTAGACTGCCTGTAGCCCCACCTTCGGGGAATAGTGGCATCTGCGTGGGCGGGACTAGTTTTTCAGTCTCCGAGGCAGCTAGCTGCTGTCCTGCAGCCACCTGGGCGTTGCCTCTGGAGACTTCTCAAGTTTCAAACTACGAGAAAGACGGGCGCCAATGTGGTCTTCTGAAATTGTGATTGGCGGCAGCTCTGAAGGTCTGCGTGCCTCAAGAATACAAAACGGAGCGAAAAGCATTGCCTTGAGCCACTTGGAGTGCACGGACCGTGCTTGGACACCCTTCATTATGTTCTTAAAGCCGTGTGTATTACCGATCTTCAATACCCACACTCCGTGCGATTTGTGCCTGTTTAGTTTAAATAAAATGAGATTTAGGGCTTGTTTCTATATATGTGGGTACAGCGTAATATAAACAGGAAAACACACGGTGGGAAATATTGTTGACTATGCGGCTTAAGCGACCGCAGTGGGGGGTAGAGTGGTTATGGCACTTTTCTGCGGGCCCAAAGGGCGCTCATAGAATGCCGGCCACGGTCGCCGCATTTTCGAGTGAGGCCCGTGTGCTCAGTTTTGGGTGCACGTTAAAGAATCCCAGGTGGTCGAAGTTTTCGGAGGCCTTCTCTATGGGGTTTCCCATTATTATATTGTGGTTTCGGGAGGTAACCTTCAGATATTATGATCATCATGCAGCACAAGCGAGATTCGTACCGCTAAACAATCTAAGACTTGGTTATTTCTTAATAGTGCCACGTGAAGCATTTTCTATGAGGCACCAGAACAAAGAACATAATGCTCTAGTAACTCGACTGGCCGTAGTGTTTATGGTGCCTACACAAAAGTTCAGCGAAGGAACCCGGAATCACTTAGTCAGCATGGCCAGAAAACGCTGCCAGTCAATAGTGACTGTGAGCGAAACAATGTAGTGTAGCAAGCGGTCTGGAATTTGCAATTCATTCTGAAATGTAGATAGAAATTTCTCCTTATTCTCTCGACAAATAACGCCATGAAGCCAAATGTCCGTGTCCTAAGCCCGAGGTCTCCGACTATTGACCGATTTCAGCATTATGTGTTGCCCCACCTGCGGCGGCTGCATTTTCGATGGAGGCGGAAATGCTGTATGTAGGCCCGTGTGCTCAGATATGGGTGCACGTTTGGGTGCAAGAACCCCAAGTGGTCTAAATTGAGCTGGTCGAAAAGGTAGCAGGTGGTCGAACCCAGAAGAACCCCAGGTGGTCGAAAGCAAGGGCTCCGTGTACTGAACGCAAGACCAGTGCTCATGCGACATTGTAAACAGCATTGTTATCTAGGTGTTAGTGTGTAATGTCCAATTTTCGGAGACAAACGTAGAGTAGCAAAACGATTTATTGCTACATATTGTCGCAAGTGCGACGGCACAACAGCAAATGAAAAAGGGTGAGCCGGGCGGCAGCCTAGACATGCAGCTTTAAACCGATCGCAGTCGGGTCACATGATTACTGGCAGCTGGGCTGGCCGCTCTATCGACAATACGTGGCGCTATCGCATACATGGCATTTCCTCCCGCTTAAATTGTGGGGAGCTACAGTTACACAAAATTAAGATTACGTGTAGCGATCTGGCGCTCGTCGGCTGCGTACTGGATATCTTTGTACTGGTGGTGGTGCCTCGGAGGCTGCGGGCGTGCCGTAGGTGTCTCCGCAGTGGCATCCGAGAACTCCCAGAAGGTGTCCTTGTTCTCCTCACCATCGGAGACGTAAGCTGCACCCAAGAGAAGCTAATCTTGGTGACGTTGCCACACGGCCAGGCCCCGTGGCGTGTGTACTTTGACGGCATACGAAACGGGTCCTTTCTGCCGCAATACAGTACCCGGAAGCCATCTGGGTGGTCCCCTGTAATTTCGAACAAAAACACCGTCGCCTCGCCTACAGCAAATTTTCGGGCTTTGGAGCTGTATATGCTGGACTGAATAAATTGCTGGTGGCGAACTAATTATTCTAATTCTGGCTTGATAATGTCCAGTTTGGAATGAAGAAGGCGACCGAACATAAGGTTAGCCGGCGCTTCTTTCGTCGTAGCGTGGGGTGTATTCCGATAAGCAAGCAAGATGCTGTCAAGGCTAGCCTGCAGGTTTCCAGCATTTAAATATTTCTTCACGGCCGTCTTTAGGGACTGAACAAAACGTTCTGTCAAGCCATTCGAGCTTGGGTGATAAGGCGCTGTTGTGACGTGGCGCGCTCCTAGCTCTGCAACAAACGTTTAGAACTCGGTGTCACGAAACGAGCACTCAAAAAGGGCGCGCCGCCAACTTCTCGCGACGAAACGCCGGAGTGACGCCACGAGGTCAACAATAAAAGAAAGAAAACAAACATACAAAGACTCCCCGGGCGCTCGACTCTCTCTCTCGGAAGCGTAGGTTCGCCGACGAACCTCCTCACCCCACATCGGCGGCCGAGCAAGCACTGGAAAATTGTAGATGGAAGGGGGCGTGGTGATGCCGGGTTGCGTCATCCGGCGCGGACGGCCTTCGAACCGTCTGGCCCTCTCCCCAGCCTTCGCTGCGTATCGCGCCGACGGAATGATGAGAACTTTCTGGAATCTCGCGCGGAAGGTATTCAATGGAGCAGCCGAGATGGGAGATCAGGAGAAGACGGAAGTTAGCGCCAGAGCGCGTAGGGATTCTGCCGTGTAATCGGCGAAGGTTTTGTCCGTAGAGACAAAGCAGGAGAAGAAGATGATTTCCACCTGAGGGGTGACGACTCGAGCTACAGGCAAGAGTGTGTGTTTACTGCTATCGAGCGAAGACGCGTGGCAACAGCTGCGTGTGTGAAGCCGACGTGTTTCCGGCGAAGAAGTTTGAAGCTTGGAGAGTGGCCAATTGAAGACGCGAGGTTTTCTGGAAGAGAAACTTCAGGGGCAGCGGAACGACAACAACGCTGGACTTTGAGTGAGTCATTCTCGGAAGAGTATCATTCAGACTTTTGTTCCAAGAACTTTGGACTGAATAAGTTTTCTAACTCTTTAGTCTTTAAGTGTCTTGGTTGTTCAATGCATGTGACTGCATTGTAGTGCGTATTGTTGTCTGTGTCCGTTGTTTCGAGTGTGGCTGATTGTATTGTGTAGTACGTCGTTTGATTGGTGACATATTGTATTCAACTATTGTGGAGTGTGCATACTTGTGTATTGTTTTTGATCTGCCATTATTGAGAATATAATTTTGTTTTGCTTATCAACTCTTGGCTCTGACTTGTTCTTTCGGGCCACAGCCGGCAACCGCTGGCGCGCCAAAAAGGACCACTTCTAAATTGTCCACGCTTTCGTGGTGCGGTTCGGGGGGCCGATACTTCGGCCCTTGGAATTAGCCCGGCGATATCCTCCCTAATTAACGGGACCTGTGTGACAATTATTCTGGCGTCCACGACAGGGACCTTTTGGTGCACAGTGTGTCCAAAGTAGTGAGAAAGAGCCTCGAGTTGTTGATACTGCTATCGGAACGATTTTGTGTGTTGCTCAGTGTTCTCGTTAACGAGTGCAGGGGAGTGTTCCGACAGACTGATTTAGGCAGATACTTTTTGCACGCGGCAAGACTGCATTTGCGAGAAATGATGGATCTCGAAAAGTTAGTAGCTCTTGGTGAGAAGATGGGTCTTTCTGGCGTCGAACTACGGAAGTAGGTCACCCAGAAGGAAAAAGAAGAAAAAGAGAGGGCCAAAGAAGAAAAGGCAGCTGAGCTGGAAAAAGAAAGGTTGGCGGTGGAAAGAGCGAAAGCGGAAAAAGAAGCTGAGTTGGAGAGAGAGAGGTTGGCAGATGCCAAGGAAGAAAAAGCAGCTGAGTTGGAGAGAGAGAGATTGGCAGCTGAGAGGGCCAAGGAAGAGAGAGAGCAACAATTGAATTTGTAGTTGGAGAGAGAAAAGCTGGCAGCTGAAAGGGCGAAAGAAGAAAGAGAGGCAAAGGAGCGACAGCTGAAAGAAGAAAGAGAGCAGCAGTTGAAGTTGGAGCTGGAGAGAGAAAAGCTGGCCGCTGAGAGGGCGAAAGAAGAAAGAGAGGCAAAGGAGCGACAGCTGAAAGAAGAAAGAGAGCAGCAGTTGAAGTTGGAGCTGGAGAGAGAAAAGCTGGCCGCTGAGAGGGCGAGAGAAGAAAGAGAGGCAAAGGAGCGACAGCTGAAAGAAGAAAGAGAAGAAAGGGAACGGCAGCGGCAGCACGAGATAGAACTTGAGCGGCTCCGTTTGCAACAGCGAAGTGAAACTCCGGTCCAAGCTAGAGTGGAAAGCAGTGAACGGGAGGACCACGGTTTCCGCTTGAACCCAAGCAAGCTGCTCGTAGCGTTTGGTGAAAGGAAGGACGACCTTGACGCGTACCTTCACCGATTTGAGATGATTGCGAAGAGCCAGAATTGGCCGGAACATCAATGGGCAACTGCTTTGAGTACTTGCTTGAGTGGTGAAGCGCTCAGTGTGTACGGTAGGCTTACGCCGACCGACGCAGCCAACTATGCAAAGGTGAAAA